AAGGTCCCGCTGAGGCAGAAGCATGCTCTCCAGGAAGAAACCAGAGAGCCAGAGATGAGGGGGAACATTTCCTCTTTGACGTCGGAATGATTTCAAGGGTCGGGACTATTTCGATTGGAAGTGCTTTTTTCCCAACATTTCTGCGTCACATCTGAATTGGTATCGTTGCGGTTTTATTGTACTAACAAAACGTATTTAATCAGGTCAATGAAAGATTGAGTGGCTATTTTTCAGAGGAGCTAAGCCTGGTTGTGATAACCTTGGTTAGTTTTTTGTGGGGTAGTGAGTGAGCACCTTTGGGTTATTTCTGATTTGATATAACCCTAACTGCAACTTTTCTGTTGGTGGGCAGAAAAGGAGAGTAGAAATTAAAATAAAAGATGATGACAACGATGATTGTGACAACAACAACTTTAACAGCTGGTCAGAGAAATGGAATTGAATGTAACTCACACTGGGCCTCAAATTATGGCAAGTCAAAACATTAATCGTTTATGAAATCAGACCTGGGGTAACATGGCAGAACAAGTCTTTCATTTTTCAAAGAAGCAAAATTGCCATGGATTCAGTGGCTGGATTCAGACATTGCAGTACAGGTAGTCCTCATTTAGCAATCACAGTTGGGACTGGCAACTTGGTCACTAAATGAAACTGCAGCTTACAACCTTTCTTCAGCTTTCCTTTGCTTTACAGTCATCAATGCAAAGATTGGTTCCAAAAGTTACTTTTTCATCACTGTCGTAACTGCGAATGGTCACTAAATGAAGCAGTCCCTAAATGAGGTCTACTTGTAAGCCATCACATGGTTTGCCACTGTTTTCAAAACTCGTTTATGGCTTAGTATGTGGTGTGCTAATTTATGGCTAATTTTAGAACCATGCAAACAAGGTCAGTGGAATGTGTGAACCTTTTTGTCGTACCTTCTTGTAACTTCTGCTGGTACAACTCTGCTGTCCATATTAGGTCACTTTTCCGATCCAGGTGTTTAAGCTCTTGGGCATTGAGATACTGCTCGTGACCAACGCTGCTGGTGCCTTGGCTGACTCTTACAATATTGGGGACCTCATGATTATTCGGGACCACATCAACTTGTTGAGCTTGGCTGGGCAAAACCCTTTGCTCGGACCCAGCGAAGAATGGTATGTGCCATGCGGGGAGCAGCGCTGTTGGCAGGGTGAAAGGTTGAGGCCTGCCAATCTATCGAGCCTAGGAAGGGTGGCGTTCTCCAACCAGGTGCCCACGATTGTCCGACCAATTCCCATCCTGCAAACCCATTCCAGTTCAGCACTAGGGAGACCAAAGTCAATCCTTTTAAAAAAGAACAACGTTCATGGCAGTTTCATTTATTTACTGAAGGCTCCAGTTTACATCAAAGTTGACCATTTATAACCGAAAGCAATTAAACCATCATTTTCCGGGATAGGCTTCCTTGATTTGAAGCTTTTGAGGAAGGTTGAACGAATCTCCCTGCTAGAGTTTACGATGCTTTAGCTATGCATTATATATTTGTCCATGTACTATTATTAAATTTATATACCACTTTTCTGCTGATATAACCCCTTGAAGAATTATGACTTGAGGAATTCAAGGGAAGGTTGAAGCCAATGACCCTCTGGGTGGAAAGGAATAATAATAATAATAATAATAGTAATAGTAATAGTAGTAGTAATAGTAATAGTAATAGTAATAGTAATAG